CTCTGGATTCCTAGATGGTTTTCCGATGTCCTCAACCATCGTACGAGCGCGGATGGTGTCATTGGGTATGCGGTCTCGGAGCGTTACCCCGCACATGGCCCTCTCCATGGCTCGCTGAGTGACTGCGAGTTTCTCCTCTTCAGAGACTGTGGTGCTCCACGTCTCCGCCTCCGTATCTCATTGCGGGGAGAACATATAAGTTGAAGACGTGATGGGTCTATTCCAGTTCGGGGGGCATCATGATGCAGTTTTTCCAGAAAGCTAGGGTAACTCCGAGCCAGGGGAGTGTAGCCAGTCTAGGGGGTGGGGGTGAGGGCAGTCACTTGACATGCGTGAAAAGCTGGAATGTTCGAGTTCACACTAGTTCGCCGAGAAACTGCATCATGATGCCGCCCTGAACGCTATGTACCGTTTTGCCACCCCGTTAGTCAGGACGTCTCGAATCGCCAGATCTCCCCACAGAATCATTGCGATTCCGCTAACATTGGTTCGTATTTTCTTGGTCGCTTATAGTTTTTTGCCGACAATTTAAACTCTGTTTGTGTTCAGGTAATCTTTGAAATCGGCGTGGAAGGTCTCATCGGAGAATACGCCACGCTCAAACCTTATCTTGCCAGCACTTATTCAAGAGAGATTTTCGATCAGAACCCGACCAAGAATCGGTACAAAGGTGAGGCGAATATTTTTTCTGGAAAAGTGAATTATTCTCAGACTGTATTGTAAATTATGCTCCCACCTTGAAATACACAAAAATGCTTTTATACTGTCACATTCCAAACACCAAGAAAAGGAAAGCATGTCTAAAAATCTAACTATTGATGTCCTATCTAATGGTAAGCTACGATGGCTCAAGCGAGCCACAATTTCTCGCAACACAAGTGGTACACTTCTCACCCTGATGGACGTTTATTTTTCGACTTGATTTCGTTTTCGGAAAGAGCATGAAAACATGCTTTTCGGGAACCGAGCCAGACTATCCAGATCGAATCAGTGATATAGCAATTGCGTAGTGCGGTGGGTCCAGGGTGCCGCTTGATCTCCGCTCGCATCTGCGCTTTTTCCATGTGAAATTTCTGGATTAATGAATTCGTACATCGGAATGTGTAACCAATTCGCGACTTGGTGCTGAATAAAACTTTCTCAATCACTTATTCAGACGTCATCTGTAATGATCTGACCCGGGTGATCATCAAAGATGGTAAAGGCTCCGATTATATTCATGCTAACTACGTGAGAGGGCAGTGCCTCGTCAACACTTTCATCTGCACACAGGTCAGGTGATTTCGTTCATCAGTTTTCCCAGCCTTTCTAAAATTCTCAAATAGCATCGCATCGGAATGTGCTCATTTTCAGGGCCCAATCATGACAACAATTGCTGATTTCTGGCGCATGATTCTGTTCGAGCATGTGTCCCATATTATAATGTTGTGCGACACGATTGAGCAGGGCAAAATGAAGTGCGAACAGTATTGGCGAACAGTATTGGCCCAATGAGCAAGACGAAAAGATGGAAATCGGAGGTACGGACCACTAAACGCGAGATAATTGTACCCGCCGCCAAACAAAGGATCACGCCAGCCCAACCGCAACCGCCTGCAAATTAACATCTCATTCAACCATCGCGCAATACTCCATATCCAGGACAGCTTTAGACATTCTAATATTCGGGTCTCATTACGTATGCACACCTTGTTTCATCTCACGATATCTCTCATCAAGTTGTTTCGATCACTGTGGAAGATGTGTTGTGGGCAGTGGTGTCTCCCTGATTGGTATGGAAAGGGAATGATCACAGCAACCCACAACTCCGCATGGTGATATTGCTGGACAGAACAAGGGTTGTAGCGGTGCCATTTGTTTCATCGCATGACATTTCATATTTTCACGACGCACGAGGACTCAGAAGTGAAGCGTGCTCTGTGGCGTCTTCGGTCTCCAGCTCGCAATACTTGCCCCTCTCACCTGCCCTACAGACAAACATCACTAGGGCTTCCCCTTATGGTTGTACACTAACAATAACATTTATGAACAAAGCCCTAAACTAATTATGAAATAACTCGGCGTTGATTTAACTTTATACATACCTTCTCGCGTTCGGCTGGCAGTTTAGCAGTGATTTGGCCTGACGTTTAAGAAGATGCCACCACTCACACGCCACAACCACCCGCCCCCCGCCCACCTTCTCAGCTCTCGCTCCCCCGCACGCCGCCGCTCGCACCCCGTCTCTTTCCTTCATATCGTTGACAGAACTTTAATGAAATGAACAAAACACACAAAAGGAAGCGTAGCTGAAGTTCTTCCCAGATGTGCGGTTTTTCAGACTTTGTTTTGACGACGGTAAAAGTGACCAGTAACGACGCCCACGTGGTAAGGTCAACCATAGAAATAGTGACTGCGATGGGCAGCGGTGCACCAAAGTGAATCACCACACAATGGAAAAACTGGTAAGCGCATCACATCTCTTGCTAAATGAGTCAGGAGACATTTATCCGATTCTACGAGAGTTTATACCTGAAATGGGCCGTCAAATGAGGCATATGCAAAAAAACAAGAAACACCCTGAAAACGGCACCTTGATACATGCGTTGATTTGGGCTGGATATACGAAGCCACTAACGGGCATCAATCGGAAGTGCTAACTGCGACAGCTGCTATCAGGCCCAACAAGCATCATGCTTTGATTAATATCGGATTGCACAGACAGTTGGAAGGTGCGACTGCTAGAAGTGAAATGCTCAGATAAAAAGCGTGCCGGTGCTGGGGTGGGCGATTTTGGGGCATTATTGTTTTCAAGTTCGGAGCCTGAGCTGCAACTAGCTCATCCTTCGCTGCGTAAATGCCACAACTAGCTTCTTTTGCTGTGTGGCCACTGCTTCCAGTGGCACATACTTTCCCTTTTCCCACTTTATCACTGTCAGTCCTTCCCCTTCCCGTGTAATGCCTCAGATGGCATCATCTCTCTTTCATTGCTAATCATAGACCACAATGTAAACGCTGCTCAAAAGCTTTGCCCTATGTGACTTTTTTATGTCTCATTTTATTATTAACGCATTAAAGCGCAAAAGCAGAGTGTCGACCGCATTTGGCGCACCTCTGGACTAAGAATGATCATGAGGGTAACTCTCCGCGCTTTTACCATCAGTATGGCTGCGGCTCTTCTTGCCAAGTAGCAGTTTTATCAGCTCTGGAAAAAATCAATGTTCTCTGTGAGCGATCTCTGTGGCGAATCCAAACTACTGGCCACTAGCGATCTCCACGCAACGTAAGGGTGCGTCCACGACAAGCGGACGATTTTTCGTGGTAATCGGCCTTGATGCTTTAAGTCAACTTGAAAGAAAATCAGTGATTGGGAACCTAGTACAGGAAGTTTTTCACATGTGATTGTTCAATCGATGATCGCGATTGTTCCTGCATTTGCGGCGCAATTGGTACTTGAGGGCAAGAGTCAGCCAAGACGAACTCTTATCATCTGAAACACTATCAGGAGGGCGAAAGGGAACCATTAATTTCCGCCATAGTCTAACAATTTTCATAACACCAACATAAAAGCTGCACCTTCGCTCGCAATGAACTCCACTCGGCTTTGCAGCCGGACAAAACTGGTCCCAAGTCCACGGCTGTGTTCCGGATTCTGCAAGCTGTTCGAAACTCCTCTAATCCGATTGTTGTTCACTGCTCGGCTGGTATCGGCCGAACGGGCTCCTATGTGAGAATCATTTCTCTTAATCAACAAGCGCGAGAGATGTCAACTTTGTTGTATCTTCTCCGCCACCCCCTCCAGCCCTTCCGCTTTTGATGCATCCATGCCTTTCAGTACTATAGAAATGTCCTGCAAACGGCTATCCAGAAAACCCTCAATTATAACTGAGGTTGTAAAACTACGTTGAATATGTGACTTGTTTGTGAGTCATTTCAGAAGTAGCGCTCTGATGAGCGAAGTTGAATTTTTGCGTTACCTCGCAAGCATAAGAATGCCGGTAGAACGAGCTCCGGTATGAAACTCTGCCGCTATCCAATGCTCTATTGCTTCAAACTAAGAACGTCAAATGGTCCAGTATTCACAATTCCGCACCTGCTGTTCAGAATCAACGAATTCACAGCGTTACCGTGATGTTCATACGTATATATAGCGGAGGCAATTTGCGAGTACGGAAGAGCGATGGGTTACTTGAATCAGCCGGAGCTACTGAACGTGAGTCTGGAAGATTTCAACGTTTCCGTGAGGCTTGTTGAACAGGGAGTGTTCGAAGGGATGTTTCCATGGGGTTTGCCATCGCGAGCGTCGGTGGCTTCTATAATATTTTGGCACGGACAACGCGATTGCACCTGCAGCTCAATCCCCTCTACAGGGTAGGGCATAAATATGGTGACGAAGTAGTTGTGGCCACTTCGAAAACGAAAAAGGTGAACCGGATACTAATATAGCAGCGTTAGGCCATATCATTTCGAACAATTATTGACATTTCTTTTTCAGAATTGTTGTCTTCATACTTGGCAATTCTCTTAAAACGTACTCTACGAAATTTGACGCTTGCCCGCATGACTTCCTTCAAAACCTCATCTTCATACTTCTGAAGAGCGATTGTTAACGATCCTTCAAACCGTGTTGTTTCGCACACTTCTTCAGCTTCAACATCGATGTGACTAAGTGTGCGCCCAAAGGTCAGAACGCATGGGAGTTGCATCACTTCATTATTATATTGATCCATGCAAGGCATAGCGATCCTTCTAGTAAATCAAATTGTATATTAGTGAGTACTAGCTTACTTCCTCAATGCAAGATGGTAGCATTCGCTTACTTTTGCTCCACACGGCAAACTCCACTGTGATGAGAACTCGCGTTCTCATTACACCTTCCTCATCTGGTCATGAGTTTTCGTTTCCCGCGCTTCCTGTTTTCATATCTCTGACTTCTAGTAATCATTCCTGAATCTCTGGATCGAATGCTGGTATGTCGCCAGATAAAATCAAAGGTTTCTTGCCGTTACAATCGGACTGCCATACACCGTCGCATCCAACTTGTCCGATTCTTCGCCTGCTCCCCTCCCCTATCTCAGGAGCTTGTCGATATTGGCATTTACTAAAGCATAGTATTCTATGCTCAAACACTTCGGCCTCTATTCCTGAATGAAGCAGTAATAGTAGTAATAGTAATAATATTAAATATGACATCAATTTCATTTTGGTTTGCTCACAGGAGTCAGAAGATTGAAAGTAGTAATAATGAAGGAATAATCACATTTTTTCTAAAATCACCTTTTTCCTTTCCGAAATCGCTATTCGCCAATCTTTTGCACCGTTATGGGCATGTACGGCGCGTCTCGCCCACAGGTAGCTGGCGCCTAGTCGCGCAAGGCAGCACTAATTAGGTGCCAAAATTTGAGGTCACTTCGCACCTCGTCGCGGAACCATTCACATTAAGGTCGAATCCAAATCGTACCACTGAGACACACGCCGATCTGCGAACTGAAGTCATTTTGTCGTGGTCCTCCCAAATCGTGGGATACGCTTTTGACGATTCTAGCAACACCTTAGGTTCCACAACCATGACCTTTAATGATGAAGACATTACAGATTCATTATGCAGAGCGGGAAACGGGTCAATTTAAAAACGCTCGTCCGGCTAATCAGCTCTGCGCCGCTCACGCGGCGAGAATCGTCGCGTGCGGCAGTTGCTGCGGCGATTTCTGTGTGGACCTTTTCTTATCCATCCATGCCCATAAGTTGGCTAGGTGACTGATAACACCAGAGTGCTGGACATCAGTAAGCCAGCAAGCGTCACTGTAAGATCCCTGCAGTGATTTAAGCCTCGCAGTACAAACTGTGTACCGTGTAAAGGTTGTCCTTTTGGATTTAATTTGACTTCTTTATTAATCAGTTTCCTGAATTTCTATCAGAGAGTGATAATCTGTTCAACCAGAAACAAGCACGTTCCAAGACACAGAAGGAGGGGAGCTCTCCAAACCCCCCCCCAGATAGCATGATATTAAAGTGGAAAATGGTAGCGAAAACGAAACTGCTTTATAAAAGGTAAGGTGGTTTCCTATTGTATGTTTCATGAAGGAAACATCATCCAATCTTACATTCCCCATTGTTTGGATGCTGAGTTCTTTGCAAATTCGCCGCGATGATCGCTGGCTGCGGCGGCTGGCGCGGACCTATTATGCCACTTGAATCGTCCACGCCCGCAGACTGCGGTGACGGGTCTGCACGACGCCTCCTCTGGATGCAAATTCTCGGAAAGAATCACCCGGAGCGCGTGAGCTAGAAGTTCCACTCACCGGATTATGTGGCGCATTCATCAAAGAACATAATGAAACCGATGAACTATAGCATCATGACAAAGGCATGTGCGAATTTGAAGGTGCATCATACTCTGCTCAATTGTTCAGTAAATGCAGTTATCGGTCAATCGTCCATATTTATGCCTTGCACCCATCCCTCAAGTGATCTCTTCATCATAACTATACGTCATAATGCATTACCGAACCCTGCAACGGGGAACACATGAACGTAATGTACTAAACATGCGCTTGCCTCCATGGTTACTTGCCTGCCCGAGCGACCCTGATGATTTCAGTGTGCCATGTCCCGATTTGACCCTGACACGGTCAACGGTTGTTGCTATGATAAATTATTAGGCTACCAACACTGGAATAAAATCTGTCGAAAATTATGAAAATTGGGTAATTGCTCAAGAATCGAGGAGTGGTCTAATACTCACTGGGGCGGTCTGCGAAGTACGCTTAAATATGAAAAACAGTAGCTTGGTCCTCTGTGGAGTGAAAGTGGGTATAGGTGACCAACATGTTCTCACGAGATGCGAAAACCCTGTTGTGCTTGGGGCATGTGTTGAGGAAGTAGCGCTAAAGTCAGTTTAGAAATCTTGCCGGGGCACCCTAAGGGTTGAGAATATGGCAGGTGTTAGCAACAATTTTGTTCAGTTTCGGAATAAGTGGCGTTTCCATCCAAAAGACATTCCCACACATAATGACTATTCTTGGGCAGGGTAGTATATTGATAGTAAGCTGTTTGGCCCACCTTTCTTGTTTGGGCAAAAACAGCGACGTCCTTGAATGAGTGTCCCTCATTCACTGACGTAACTAGAGCTCAGTGAATGACGAAAACATCCCCGAGAGAACATTCGAAAGCTGTCAGGGTACAGTCCGTCAATCAAATCGTGAAAATCAATGGTTCATTAATTTCACTGCATTCCTAGTTGAAACACAACGAAGTTTTGAGTCATTCACTGATCTTCGTTCGAAACTGAGCCCATGTACTTTTTTCTTCAAAGAAATTAGCATTCTCATGCGCAACAAGCAAAAAGCCAAGGCGCATTTTACTGTATCAAATTTCATTGTTTCAGCAGTTCGTCAAGTTCAAGGCAGCATTCGACGACTACGTTTCGAAGCTACCGAATCCTGGACAAGCACCACCTCCGCCGCCCGCAGGAGTTCCTGCAGCACCACCAGCAGGAGTTCCTGCAGCTCCACCCATAGGAGTTCCTGCTGCTCCACCCGTAGGAGTTCCTGCAGCTCCATTTGTGCCATCACCGTGTGCTTCTCCAATGGAAACTGCGTCACCGCGGCCATCGCCAATAGCACAACAAGTGGGTGCAGCCCCACCGCCAGTTCGGGCAGTGCAGACGGCCAACGCGCATCCTGCGCCGCAAGTTCCTGTTCGGCCACCAACTGCTGCTCCTGCACCGCAAGCTCCTGTTCGCCCACCGGTTCCTTCTCCTGGTGGTGCAGCTCCATTCCGTGGCACAGTGGGAGCACCAGGTGGACCGCCTGGAGCTGTGAAGAATGCCAACCCTCCATGGCCGCCAAGACAAGGAGCCACAAATCCCGGAGCGATTGTATCTGCTCCGGCATTTTCCCCGCAAGACAGAGGTGGTCTCATAGCTTCTACTTACATATGTTAATGATATTCTATGAAAAGAGTCTTCCTGTAAACTAAACCGGTAGTTCTAGTCATAAGAGTGTTTTGTTTGTAGTGGTAGAAACCCCACAGTGCTCCACTGCTGCAACTTAATTGTGCGTAAGCTATAACAATGTCCTGTCATGGTCTTACATCAGTATCAGTTTGCGTGGTGAAGCTCACCAGCATGAGGAAGCGCTCCAACTGATACGCTTAATTAAATCTTTTAAATTTCAATCGCCGTCACAGTTTTTAATTTCATTTTTGATCAGAGATTCAGAAATTTCTTTCAATCTCTTCTCTGTAGTTGCATAACTCAGTTAGCCTTATTGCCCCTGCCGTATCCACTCTGTGCTGCATCTCCTCTGGTAGGGCTTATATCTTTCAGTCAGTTACATCCCTCGTCCCCTCATGAGCTTTTTTCGCTTAGCACAGTAGTTCCTCGCATTTTCCCACTAGCCTTATTTCCACCTGAATTGTCAAAGTGAGCAATAAAGTCGTACTGTACTTGCAGAATTAACACTTTCAAGAGAGACATTTTACAAGGGCTGAGGCCATCATGGGTTAAATCGTCGTAAAAATAAAAACGATACTCATCAACATCATGAAGCCCATTGTAGATAGAAACGATGTGTCTTATTGAGAAGCATGTCCGTCTTTTTATAACTAAATCAACAGTGGTATTTTCTAGTGTGCGTGAATCGAGTGGCGGTCTAATTTTGGAAGGGTCAATTCAAGAAGAAAAATTCGATTCAAATCATTGCCAAATATTGCATTCATTATATTTGTAAGAGGAGTACCTAAATAGTTGAAATGAAGCATTTAGCATTTTAAGTTGTCCTCGATTACACTAGGGACCTTATTCTAGCGGTGGTGAAGAGTTCCAGCAATATGTAGAACAGCGTGAAGAACGTTTTTTTTTTTGGGGATAATGTTCGATAACCTTGAATGAGTCACGCCTCAACCATCCGGCAATTAGCGTACTAGCAGATATCAAGTAGTTCGATAAACAACGAACACAGCCAAAGCGGCACGCTTGCAGTTTCGGATAGTCAATTGAAGTGCTCACTTCAAATCGTCCCGTTGATTAGAGAGTGAGCGAAGACCTCGCAACGGACACATGCTTGCTAATCATCTGCACAGGTGTGGGCATGCTGAGTAGGCAATTATCCAGTGTCTATGGCGACAAGTCTTGCAGACGAAAGAGCCGACAGAGTTTGAACCCTTCGAGAAGACATGGAAAGCTGTTTGGAACGCGTTATCGTGATTTTCTCGAATTCACCCCTTCATGGTAATCTGAAAACAGGCTTAGATAGAGCAGTCGATTATAAATATTCCGCAGAACTGCTTATCTCCGATGCCCATCCGAAAGACAGTGTCGTGCCTGATAAAGCGCGAAAGCGTTACGCCGATAGCGGCTCATTCACTGTTTCGCAAATTGCCACTTAGGCAGCATGTTCGTCTCCACTCTGCTTAGCGCTCTGTGGGCGTTGGCTCTGGCAGGTTTGGCGTGCATTGAATAATTTTTTTACCTATGTCCTTCAGAATATAAGTGAGGAATCAGAAACACGATTGCTGCTTTTCTGTTTTCTTTTGAAAATTTAATAAGATGCGACGACAGGGCCCAGAATTTTTCAGTGAGGCACTGCAATTTTTCGGGATATATTGTAGAGGTTGTGAATGTGATGTATGTCAAGGTTTGGTGTGGTTAATTTTTGAACATATTTGAGGTGATGTCACCTACTACGAACTGCAAGGTCACTACATGAATGTGCCGTTCTCCTCCATCGAACCCGGACACTCAGAGGATAATCAAGCGGTGGTCGAGCATATCTCGCAGACGGTTCCTTTTGCTTTCATTTCATGACTGGTCAAGGTGTTGAATATTTCAGTGATTACTTCTGAGGGCGTGAAGTAGTGTGTCGTGAAAAATTTGGCATATCTTGCAAGACTTGCTTAGCTGCCGTCTTGCGGATCCCTCAACTGGCTGCTAGGATACAGGGTGCGGCGACAGTACCGATCGCTTGACAAAAACTGCTCTATCAGCAAGAAAAATTGTATCAAGTTTCCCTCAATGTATAAGCGATCTACAAGCGAACCGTGCGATGCTGTCGAAAATCGATATGATGGCCCGGAAAACAGCTGAGGAAACCATACGCTGTCCACCACAGGAATCCCTGCTAATTCGTTCCGCGCTATCTCCATTGTAGCTTTTAGAGGAATCATTGCATTGTGATGAGAAGCGCAAGGATGGCGCTCTGTAATAATCCGACGGCGTGGTCGAGCGGGTTTAGATCAGGGTATTTGGACGCCGTTGCTGTCATCTGTTACCACAGAAGTGTTTCACCACTACTGTTGCAGTGATCGCACTTTAGATGTCCGAGTTGAGTCTTGCTGCAAAAAGATACGGATTTGCTTCGAAGTGAAATATTAACCTGGGTTTTGCGGTTATTTATTGATACGTCGCGGAACTGGCCGATTGATTTGGCTATAACAGCAACGAGCCGAGTGGGGTCTCGCTGTCTTTCCCATGCGGGCGAAAACAGTGGCTGGGTATGTTCTTGAGGCCGAGTAGGAGTGGCAGGCCTATGGTGCTCCAATATAATCCGATGATTTATCTTGCTGGAACAAGCTACACAGAGCGGAGCATGGGACGATTCAGTCGGTGGCTACCTTCGGTGCACAAACCTGTTCGACCGTTTTAGCTGTGTGCCCAGACAGAAGTGAACCACAAAGAGTATGAGGGCACATGTTCCAGTCGATCTCTTTTCCTTCTCTCCACTCTCATGAAAATCTTGTTTGGTTTCTTTCTTTCCTTTCGGGATAGAGGCTTCGCCAGCAGGCTAGTACTTATTGCCCGTCCTCTGCGCGCGTCAACCCAACGCGTCTATTGGGTCGGGGCTAGATTATACGAGATCAGGAGATATGCAGCTCCTCTCTTCAAACACGCAATAATTCCCGAGGTAGCAAGTGGTTGTTGTCAGAATGATGTTGAGAAGCACGACCAAGGAAATGTGCTCTGTGCAATCTCAGCGTCATTGTGAAAACGTTCGTATCACGAGCTACAAGACGAACAGCTCGTAAGTGAACATTATAGCATTTTGGTTTTTAGTTGTTCGCTCTCTTGCACACTGAGCCGTTCGACTTCTACGTGGACAATTTCGAGTGAGTTTTGAGCTTTGAGACTGCAAAAAAGTGCCTTTTTTGAGTCGATGCTACCAGGGTCCACGGTGTCGAAGTGGGCATACCCACGGCGGTGTTTCATGGTTACCTCACAACGTCGTCGTCACTCAGTCGTGAACAAGTCATTACTCTAGTCGCCGAGAGTGATGACGTAAAGTTGTACCATCTCTCTAAAATCGGTCAGTTTTCAACTTTTTCTGAAGCATGACTATATGCAGTAGCGGAAGTCTCTGACCAGGTGCATTTTAGGTTGGAATTTTTTTTCTGCTGAATCAAATCAGTTCAAATTTTGATATGTTTAGAGGCAAGCATTCTTCACTAGCAAGCATATTAGTGTTGGATGGGAGGAAGAGTTAAGAATGAAAAAATCCTTTCACTAGAAATTCTCGAGTATGACCAAATTCCAAGTAATTTCAAATTATTGTAGAAAGCTTACAATTCAACAAAACAATCGACCGCATGATAAAAATCAAGCATATTCAGTACTTTGTTACTAGCCTTTTGGAGTTGCTGAAGCCTCAACAAGGCCTAGGTGAGGAATCAGTCAATAAGTCTGTCTGCCAGGACAACTTCCTCAACTTCTTCTTCAAATTTGACGACTTTCTCGCCCATTTGACGACTTTCTCGCTTTCCTAGTCCTTTTTGCCAAACCCTTCTCTACCCTTTTCTATAGTGTCTCGATGACTCTCGGTGTAACCAAAGTTGTCCCTCCGTTTAAGGCGCGCCATTCTAGTAAGGACTTTTTTGCACAGTTGAGGCACGGTTGAAGGCGCAAAACTTCCAGAACTCAACTCTATAAGTCGGCCTTCACCACTTCTCAAATCCTATGAACTTGACTGACGGTGAAGGGAGGGAAAGTAATGAGTCGCGCACACCTGTACCCACAGGTGGAGATCCCCACACGGCTCCAACGTCATCTGGGGCGACGAAGTTAAATTTGAGAAGTTTGGAGACCACATTGCAGCGCATGTGTGGCGTCCCGCTAGAAGAGAATTTGATCCAACGTATCAAGTCCTATCCGTCA